CAATAGAATTGTACGTCAGGCACGTCAAACGTTACGCCACTATTATTTGTAGTCATACGACACACACTTGGTGCTTTGTTTGTAGTCATGCCATACTAAACATAAACTAAGGAGCAAAAGACACCTCTCAGTTGATATTTAAAATGGCTTTAGTTCACAGGAGAGAGCAGATTTCAGTGTTTCGAAGCTGACGACGAGGAGAACCGTATGGAGGTGGAGACGTCATGGTTTGGGGCGGCATCTGTTGCCAGATCTGGTGATTATGGAAGGACTCATCACTGCACAGAGTAACATCGACCAATCTCTCTACCCTGTTATAGTTACCTTACTTGCAACAGAATCTCCGGACCCTGTTTCAGCAAGTGTAAAGGCACTATACAACGATGTGCCTTGGCCAGCACAATCACTAGAGTTATCACTTATAGAACACGACCAGGTCGTCCTCATAACAAGCACAGGTCCTCCGAGAAGAATGGCGCTGAATCCAATTTCTTGCGATTACACGTCTCACATCTCCTGCCAGTCGTGGAGTTGGGCGTGTATTGATGCCAATAGGGTGCATGCACGATATTGACTGATATGTGTGACATCCTGAAGAACGAATTCATGTTTCATGTTTCAGTCTTGATGGTTGATCGACTACTGAACAACTGACCATTACACCAAACTGTGGAAACAGTGTTTCATGTTTGTCTCATGCACGTCATAACTTGTAATGATGGGAATTCAGGTCTTTTGACAATACAAGTATTTTTCTTGACATTGGTTCATTTCTGTTTTTAGGAACAAACAATGTTGGTTGGTAGCGTTTCTTTTGTTCGTCAGTTTAGGATATTATAATAAACTATATACATACATGCATACATATGTTTATGTAAGGGTAAATGATGCTTAGTGGGCCTTTTTAATCCACAGCGGGACAAGTGGAGTCAATTACCCAAGGATAGAACACAGTGACTTGCATAAAATGGAATAGTTTAAATGATAAATGAATAAGTATTACAGGCATGGTGGATCTCATGCCCATGTCTCTATGTAAAGATTATGGCCTTATTGGGGTCGAGATTGTTTACTGAGGTTGAAACTATTTTTTTCAAGCAGATGGATGCTGAGCTCTGCATTCACGCAAAATTCTAAACTGTTAGAATCCCTTAGAAAAGAAAGGTTTTCTCACCAGATTGACGAGCCTGAGTGTGGGGGGAGCTGCGTGACAGACTGCCCAGCTACAGACAAGTACAACAGTAAGTGTTGTCCACATATCCACGGAAGCCTTGACTGCCTTCAGTCACAGAGATACCAATTCCGTGCTGGCCGGCTGGGAGATACAATCTCTTATCTTTAACGCGCTGCCTGACGTTATTGGCTAACTTCAGAGCTCGCAAAGTCTTTGTACAGCACACTGCTAAACAATTAGTGCATAATATTGCTTAAGGTATCGGTTATCCGACATTTAACATAATAATCTACATATAAACAATGTCTACCGCAGTCTGCTAAAGTGCAGCCTTTAATACAAATTTACCGACACCTAAAATATATTTACCAAAAAAGTGGTGTCGAAAACTGTCCCAAATCTCCACACCATACAATGAAACTGGCTTAACCTTGTTGTCAAACGGCTTAATTAAAGAGTAATTGTATAGGTATACATAGGGTTTAACGGTGTAACTTATTTATTCTAAACAAGGCCTGAACTCCACTCAAACATTCTAAATATTCGTTAGCTGAAATGTTAAATATTCTAACTGCTGCAAACGTTTTGGAATACACATTGTACGCTAAATAATATGCCATCAGGTTTAATATAAGAATATCAAGTGTCAAAGGCCTTTTTAAAGTCGACGAAAAGGCATTAGAATCTCCCACCAATCCTAGATAAATACTCCTGGACAAGCCAGTGTAAGGTGGAGATGTAGGGTGTGCAGTCACAATTCCAAAACAAATGCCTTAGCTTCTGGAAACTTATCAAATTAATCCACAAAGCGTCGTTGTAGAAAATAATGGCTATACATGTCCATCAATGATATGTCTCTATTATTATTGACATTGCCTTTCTTACGAACTTTGCACATTATGCTGGATATACGTCATCAAAATGTTATTAAATATAAGAGTGACATAGAGAACTTCCTCGGGTTCAGATCTGGCAGCTTCAGCCTCTTGTTTTGTCACATCTCTGTTGAGAACCGCTTCTGTGGTCTCATGGAAGAGCGTCCGCCAGGAGAGCGAAAGGTCTGGGGTTCGATCCCAGACTGCGTCATACTATAAGAACTTGTTGTTACCCTGTCTGGTGCTCAGCATTAACGGGCAAAACAACAACTGGTTGGCTCTGAGTCAGCATATTGTGTCTGAGTGGGATATTCATGTTAAACTGCGGCATCTTATCTCAGTAGGCTAGCCCTATGAAATCGGCATTACTAGGGCAAGCACACACACACACACACACACACACACACGCACGCACGCACGCACGCACGCACGCACGCACGCACACACACACACACACGTTCATCGTTCATGCCATCGCTATGTCAGTTCTGTTTGTTTATTGTTTAACGCCGCATTCAGCAATATATCAGCTATATGACGGCCGTCTGTAAATAATCGAGTCTGATCCAGACAATACAGTGATTGATATCATGAGCATCGATCCACGCAATTGGGATACGATGACTGGCTTCAACCAAGTCAGCGAGCCTGACCACCCGGTCTCGCTATGTAAGTGCAATAATCTTGGACGCCGCGTTAAACACCATTACACCTCACCTCACTGAGTCTGTTTACTTATCCGTCATGGGTAACATCTTGTACCGGTCATCAAGGGTAACATCTAGTACCGGTCATCAAGGGTAACATCTAGTACCGGTCATCATGGGTAACATCTTGTACGGGTCATCATGGGTAACATCTACCACAGGTCATCATGGGTAACATCTACAACCAGTCATCATGGGTAACATCTACCACAGGTCATCATGGGTAACATCTACCGCAGGTCATCATGGGTAACATCTACAACCATGCAGTCATCATGGGTAACATCTACCGCAGTCATCATGGGTAACATCTACCGCAGGTCATTATGGGTAACATCTAGTACCGGTCATCATGGGTAACATCTACCACAGGTCATCATGGGTAACATGTACCACAGGTCATTTTGCGTAACATCTAGTACCGGTCATCATGGGTAACATCTACCACAGGTCATCATGGGTAACATCTACCACAGGTCATCATGGGTATCATCTAGTACCAGTCATCATGGGTAACATCTACCGAAGGTCATTATGGGTAACATCTACCGCAGGTCATTATTGGTAACATCTAGTACCAGTCATTATGGGTAACATCTACCACAGGTCATCATGGGTAACATCTACCACAGGTCATTATGGGTAACATCTAGTACCGGTCATCATGGGTAACATCTACCACAGGTCATTATGGGTAACATCTAGTACCGGTCATCATGGGTAACATCTACCACAGGTCATCATGGGTAACATCTACCACAGGTCGTCATGGGTAACATCTACCACAGGTCATTATGGGTAACATCTACCGCAGGTCATTATGGGTAACATCTAGTACCGGTCATCATGGGTAACATCTACCACAGGTCATCATGGGTAACATCTAGTACCAGTCATCATGGGTAACATCTACCGCAGGTCATTATGGGTAACATCTACCGCAGGTCATTATGGGTAACATCTACCGCAGGTCATTATGGGTAACATCTACCACAGGTCACCATGGGTAACATCTACCACAGGTCATCATGGGTAACATCTAGTACCAGTCATCATGGGTAACATCTACCGCAGGTCATTATGGGTAACATCTACCACAGGTCATCATGGGTAACATCTAGTACCGGTCATCATGGGTAGCATCTACCACAGGTCATCATGGGTAACATCTACCACAGGTCATCATGGGTAACATCTACCACAGGTCATCATAGGTAACATCTACCACAGGTCACCATGGGTAACATCTACCGCAGGTCATCATGGGTAACATCTTCAACTAGTCATCATGGGTAACATCTACCGCAGGTCATTATGGGTAACATCTACCGCAGGTCATTATGGGTAACATCTACCGCAGGTCATTATGGGTTACATCTACCGCAGGTCATTATGGGTAACATCTACCGCAGGTCATCATGGGTAACATCTACCGCAGGTCATCATGGGTAACATCTACCGCAGGTCATTATGGGTAACATCTACCACAGGTCATCATGGGTAACATCTACAACCAGTCATCATGGGTAACATCTACCACAGGTCATCATGGGTAACATCTACCACAGGTCATCATGGGTAACATCTACCGCAGGTCATCATGGGTAACATCTACCGCAGGTCATTATGGGTAACATCTCGTACCAGTCATCATGGGTAACATCTACGGCAGGTCATTATGGGTAACATCTACCGCAGGTCATTATGGGTAACATCTACCGCAGGTCATTATGGGTAACATCTAGTACCAGTCATCATGGGTAACATCTACAACCAGTCTGTGGCCCGCATCCCTGATCTCAGTGGGCTAGCACTATAAAATCGGCATTAGCCCGGATTAGTACAAGCACACACACACACGCACACACGTAAACACGCACATGCACGTCGCTATAGAAGTGCAACAATCTTGAACGCGACGTTAAATCCCATTCCACTCACTTCGGGAGCTTTTATTGGACGATGTACTGACGTGCCAAGGAACACGGGGCTATGTGCACTGTGTTACCGTGTGGAAGTTGAAGATGAGTTTCATTTTGTGCTTGCATACTTTTTACTTTCAAATATATATACTTTATACAGTATAAAGTACATCTATCTATCGACTATACAGAAATCGAATCTATATATAACATAAGACAATTGACACAATTGACTACACAGTATACTATATGCCTTTGGCGTCCTTAATACAGAAATAATACAATATATACTGGCGCTACCACACACAGAACAGACATGGTACACAGTCAGGGAGTAGTATTTATTATCCAGGTTTATATACTGTCGATGTCATCAGAGTGGGGATCTAGGGCGTCAGGGCTGTCGGCGTCCTGGTCTTCACGTCTTCCGATGATGGTGCCTGGAACACAAAGCCTCGGTTCAACAGCTACAATATACATTGCGATATTTCATGCCTAGATCTGGGTTTATCCGTTTGTATCTGAATATGTGCGCGACACTGGTTTGGGGTTAAGTGTTACTACAATTACTATTTACGATAACAAAAAAAAACAATGTTAAAACAAATATATTATGAAAATAATAATTTTAACAGGCAATAAATACAGGCACAATTAGTTTGTTCATTAAACCTATTTATCAAAGATTAAATACATTTCATTTAAGAGATGCCTAATGTTACTTACTGTTTTTGACGAACATGCAAGAGAAGTTACTCTAACCTAAAGACCTATTATTATACTAGTATTTGAAGTATATAAAGTTCTAAGGAACATCGTGTCGGTGACCTGACCGATGATTCCGATAGTTTCGTGCCACATATTAACTTTCATTACAGACACTAAGCATTACAATGAAGAAACTGATCGAGTAGATATAAAAACCGACAGTAGGGAGATGAGACCAGCAGAAACGCGAAGTTGAGTCGCAGGATAATTGCGAAACATTGCGGTCTATTCATAGCGTACATAGTCGGACAGTTTCTGCAATGATAAGTAGCATGGTCGAAAAAGAGACGTAAAGTGGAATATATCCTATACACACCTACATTAGGATTTATTACCCTAACGGAAGAAATAAAATCAGATTTCCATCCAGTGTAAACCAACTAGCATTTCAGATTAGAATCATGACTGGGCTCCTGTCTATCTCAACGGATAAGGTTGCTGCGCGAACCAGTTTAATTAAAATCGAAGTTATAAGCGTTATGCGTGACGTTTTCAGTTACCAGAAGACGTCATAATGCGTGAAAAGACAGGCAACATACAAACTACCACATGGTAAATAAACACCACACCAAAACTCATTTCAATATCCTTCAGCATGCTCTGACAACTGTTTACCTGTGCTGGAGGCGGCGCACTCGGCGTCCCAGTCTGTGGGAACCATGTCTTTGGTGAGGGACACAAACTTGGTCAGCGGGCACTTGAACGTACAACCTAGACACGGGGATATTCGATTATTTATATGTATAAACGGTCATAATAATTCCGGTTCCGATGATGGCGTTTGAGCTTCTTGCCTCTAACACCAGATATTCAAAAGATAAATCGAAAGCTTTTTCAAAATCACAGTCTCGCATGTCAGTGCGCCTCACAATGTGAGAATACTGATCACTATTGGCACAGTGCGAACCAGGGCATCTGATTGCGTGGCACATCAGCGGCAGAAGGCAGCATGCTCAGCACAATAATATAACTGTTACCTAGTTTAACTTCTGAATTACTGACTGTTTAATCGAGTCCATGAGTACATATTGTCACGCAATTTACATAAACAGAGTTCTATTGTCATTCTATGAGATTTTTGTAATCAGTTTGACATTTTGAGTTAGTAAGCCGTCTCGCCTGGTATGGTGAGTTGATGAGGCGGTGTGTCATCGTTAGGGTCTGTGGATGACACATTCCTGTAGTACAGTTCCACGTGGAAGACACTGGCCCTTGTCTCGTGCAGCTCCATGAGGATGGCGGATGAGTAGGGTGGGGGAAGGTGGTTGAGGGCCCGGAGAGCGCCCAGTACCGCCAACACAGTGGAGTCATGCTGCAAACGGAGTGCTTGTGTTGTGTAGTCAACTAATTGTATTATAAATCTACTGGAAGTATTAATGCCAGTGCAAATGCAATATCATATGCCCTTGGGTTTCAACAGACTGATAAACGCCTGAGACAAGTATCATTTCGGGTGTCCTCACACGTGATTTACTGTGAACTTGGTAGAATTATAAACAATCTATCATCAGTCTATGACAAGCTAGCAACACTACCAACAACGGAGAACATGTTCATCTTGGTAGAATTATAAACAATCTATCATCAGTCTATGACAAGCTAGCAACACTACCAACAACGGAGAACATGTTCATCTTGGTAGAATTATAAACAATCTATCATCAGTCTATGACAAGCTAGCAACACTACCAACAACGGAGAACATGTTCATCTTGGTAGAATTAAAAACAATCTATCATCAGTCTACGACAAGCTAGCAACACTACCAACAGCGGAGAACATGTTCATCTTGGTAGAATTATAAACAATCTATCATCAGTCTATGACAAGCTAGCAACACTACCAACAACGGAGAACATGTTCATCTTGGTAGAATTAAAAGCAATCTATCATCAGTCTACGACAAGCTAGCAACACTACCAACAGCGGAGAACATGTTCATCTTGGTAGAATTATAAACAATCTATCGTCAGTCTATGACAAGCTAGCAACACTACCAACAGCGGAGAACATGTTCATCTTGGTAGAATTATAAACAATCTATCATCAGTCTATGACAAGCTAGCAACACTACCAACAACGGAGAACATGTTCATCTTGGTAAAATTAAAAACAATCTATCATCAGTCTACGACAAGCTAGCAACACTACCAACAGCGGAGAACATGTTCATCTTGGTAGAATTATAAACAATCTATCATCAGTCTATGACAAGCTAGCAACACTACCAACAACGGAGAACATGTTCATCTTGGTAAAATTAAAAACAATCTATCATCAGTCTACGACAAGCTAGCAACACTACCAACAGCGGAGAACATGTTCATCTTGGTAGAATTATAAACAATCTATCATCAGTCTATGACAAGCCAGCAACACTACCAACAGCGGAGAACATGTTCATCTTGGTAGAATTATAAACAATCTATCATCAGTCTTTGAAAGCTAGCAACAATACCAACAGCGGAGAACATGTTCATTTTGGTAGAATTAAAAACAATCTATCATCAGTCTATAACAAGCTAGCAACACTACCAACAACGGAGAACATGTTCATCTTGGTAGAATTATAAACAATCTATCATCAGTCTATGACAAGCCACCAACACTACCATCAGCGGAGAACATGTTCATGTTGGTAGAATTATAAACAATCTATCATCAGTCTATGACAAGCCAGCAACACTACCAACAGCGGAAAACATGTTCATCTTGGTGGTGTAGAAGCTTGAGCTGACTCTCTGCTGTGTCTCTTCGATCCACTTCTTCAACAGCACCCCTAGAACAGTCAAACGTCACATTTATGTATTACTGGTACACGAAATACAACACACTGTATCTTTTTCTGTCATGACGATACACAGACTATTGTATCGATCTTGGCCAATCTTACTGACACATATAAACAGCTACCTCCTTTCAGGCGGGCCACGCCACTGTCGCTGTACTTGAGGTCCAGGCTTAACGCCTCCAGCTCCCTCAGTGTCTGGAACATGGTTTCATTCACCCAGGGGGCCCAAGACACGTTATGGATTTTCTGAAATGAACCGGTACCCCTTCCTTGGATGAATTTGTAACCCATTGTCTGTTTAACATTGCCACAAACATGAGACCAAATCCTCGACGACCTATATCCGTCTTCATTGTTGCCATTGTATATGTATTTATTTTCTAATCCTTTGTGACTTTGGCACTGTAACCCTATAAAGAGGGGAGGTAAGTCTACAGAGAAGGGAGGTCGTATGCACCCTTGGTCCAGCAAGCGTTAGGCCAGGTACTCCTGGGTACCACAGCTGTTATCACGATGTCTTCAGGGGGCGCTTCTTGCATAGAACTCGTGTCAACAACCTAAGCATGTCATGCCACAGAGATTATGTCGGACACACCCCTACATTAAACAACTGCATATATATCCATATATATATGAATATAGATACGTATAGTCAACGACAGCGTGTGTGATGCACACTCGTCTATTACTGACATTCTTATTCAGAGTGAACTTAGGGTGCTCGTCCATTCTTCCAGGCCTACATTAATCAGTGAAATGCATAAGTATGAGAAACACTATCTGGAAACGAGAGATGTTCTCTAGAGTCCGATATCCATGCAAATGCGTTAACCATTTAGTTCAGTGAACAATCCTACCTCACACAGAAGGTTGTCTGCTACCACAGGGGCGTTTTGTAGGCGGAATGGAACATACCCCGTCACTCTTGTCAGGAATGTGTAAAGATCCTGGAATTCAAAGAATAATACTTAGCCTAACGTGTGCTTCTTAAAGTGCGGTGCCAGGTAACTTTACAACATGTCTACATATGTAACTCTACAAAGTTCCCCTCAAGGACGTGGCCATTGTAGGTAGGTCCCCGTCGGCCAAGTACTGTGCAGTTATTCCAGTGTCTACCAACACCCACCTTGTTCTCTCCCGCCTCCTGCATGGCCCGGGTCGACTTGTAGATTGACGTCTTCAGGTCGTTATATCTCTGGCAGTGCTTACCCATACCCAGCATCTGAAACACAGCAGCGTATATACACGGCCATAGGTTCCATCGTATCGGATACTACTGGTCAAACCCGATATGATATCATGATATCTTTGCGCCAATATATTCTCACAGTACCCATCTCTAGTTGATATCTTCCGGACCATGCATTATATGTTGCAGCGCCAAGTCTTGTTGGTGACCATTTAATCTTAATTGCAAATCTTCGCGCAGGCGTACAAACCATGACTATGTGGATATATAAATTATACTCAAGGGCAAAGTTGTTGTGACGTGGATTTATATATAAAGTTTTGGATTTGAACCAGGGAAAATGTTTGACTGTGAAAAAGTTCGAAGACGCGCAATCAACAACCACGTGAGTGACCGTCCCCGTAGTTGCCGCCCACCAGGACATCCAGATTCGAAATCACGCAACTCGACACAGGTTCCAGACAGCAACCTTTACAGCCTGTGCCCTACTTGGAAACAGAGGCGTAACGGCAAAGGCGGTCCGATGATGTGCACGCATGTATGGTATACGAGTGAGGCGCCTAGCCAGACGGCCAATCCTGACGGCAGGACACCAACGTCCATGTCTCCAGTGGCGTAGACAACACTGGCAGCGGACAGCAGGTCGGTGGAGAAGGACCATCTTCACGGTTCCTTCTGAATGTCCATGTGTCGAGCCCTTGATTTGCCACCAATCGAGAGTTTCAAGAATGTAATGATCTTTGAGACGTCTTCCAAATGCAACAACAACGTTGCAGAAATTCAGGATTATCCTTCCTCAGATATGAAATGTCATTAGTTAGATGTTTCTTCGTTTAATAGGTGTCAGGCCTGCTTAGAATTGGTCTTCAACAACCTATGCTTGTCGTAAGATGCAACTAACGGGATCGGGTGGTCAGACAATTGTGTAGATCGATGCGCATGATGTCAATCACTGGATTGTCTGGCCCAGTCTCGATTATTTACTGACCGACGTCATATAGATGCAATATTGCTGAGTGCGGCGTTACACAAAACACAAACAAATCAATGCACAAGGTGGAAGCACTGGCCTCTAAACCCACTCTGGTGACATGATTCATTTGCATATGGTAGGAGCTTTTCTTATACGGGCTGTTGTTCGTTACCATCGCCTCAGATATTGTTCTTTTTATTTCTGTATTATATATTTCCATACACAGCAGTAATATTGATAGACCGATCCCCTTTGTGTTTTGTATGTCACAGGAAGTTGCGCCTTTAAGTATTGAACAGACGGAGATACATTTCACGCGTATGAATGCTATGGAAATGGCATGACTTATTTGTGAATTTGAGCTGTCTGTTCATGAAACATGGCTGCTGTATTGGGTTTCCAGAATATGGTATGAGATTTTCACATAGAATGCTTAGACTCATACTAACGAGAGGACTGATGCTTTGACAGAAAGATCAAAAACGTACACTAAAGACAGTCAATGATTTAGTGAAAAAAAATTAAAGTGAAAGGACATTTAAACAGAAACGTGAACGCAATTTTAGAAAGAAAGCAAGCATCTTGACATCTTGGTACCTAATTCTGGCGAAATGTCCGAGCTTGTATGATGATTTGATCGTACCTTTAATCGGGCCTAAAAGTACCCGGCTCCTGCTGTGCCATCTGTTCATGGAGGCTGACTGGTTTCAGTGGGAAATGCCTTTTAATGGTACCCAGTTAACATAGCATTGTTTTGCTGAATGGGTCTGGTAGTACACACGACAGTACACGATAACTTAATGGAAATGTGTCACATAACTGGAAGGTGATTATGGAACAACTAAAACATGTAATAGATGAATTGTTATTGAGCATACATACATTGTCCTCACTTCTAGGCCTGGTGTGGACGGGGATGGGCTGCCAGGGGATGTTGCTGTTCCACACTTGGTCCCCACTTGGAGGGTACAGACCGGCCAGGTTGGAGTAGGCAGACATCAGACATCTGTTCACGTCTGAGCTCTCCACGGTGATCTGGAGGCAGTGTGAACCGCAAATTTTGGCATCTTCCAGCTGTGATATTAATTAATGTTTTGCGTTTATGTGGCGCTCTGTTGTCACTATATGGGGACAGCTGAACGCCACATACACTTTATCAATATCACAGCTGGAAGATGTTTTTATTACTGAATGTCTCAGGCTTATCAATGTGGAGACCGATAGAGAGTGTGTTCTATACTAACGACTGGCCACCCATCTGTGCACAGGTATATGCTACTAACAATTAGGTTTCCATATACTAATCATGTCACCCACCTCTGTGTGCAGGTACTCATCATGTGTCACCCACCTCTGTGTGCAGGTACTCATCATGTGTCACCCACCTCTGTGTGCAGGTACTTGTCATGTGTCACCCACCTCTGTGTGCAGGTACTCATCATGTGTCACCCACCTATGTGTGCAGGTACTTCTCATGTGTCACCCACCTCTGTGTGCAGGTACTCATCATGTGTCACCCACCTCTGTGTGCAGGTACTCATCATGTGTCACCCACCTCTGTGTGCAGGTACTTGTCATGTGTCACCCACCTCTGTGTGCAGGTACTCATCATGTGTCACCCACCTATGTGTGCAGGTACTTCTCATGTGTCACCCACCTCTGTGTGCAGGTACTCATCATGTGTCACCCACCTCTGTGTGCAGGTACTCATCATGTGTCACCCACCTCTGTGTGCAGGTACTTGTCATGTGTCACCCACCTCTGTGTGCAGGTACTTGTCATGTGTCACCCACCTCTGTGTGCAGGTACTCATCATGTGTCACCCACCTCTGTGTGCAGGTACTTGTCATGTGTCACCCACCTCTGTGTGCAGGTACTCATCATGTGTCACCCACCTCTGTGTGCAGGTACTTGTCATGTGTCACCCACCTCTGTGTGCAGGTACTTGTCATGTGTCACCCACCTCTGTGTGCAGGTACTTGTCATGTGTCACCCACCTCTGTGTGCAGGTACTCGTCATGTGTCACCCACCTCTGTGTGCAGGTACTCGTCATGTGTCACCCACCTCTGTGTGCAGGTACTCATCATGTGTCACCCACCTCTGTGTGCAGGTACTTGTCATGTGTCACCCACCTCTGTGTGCAGGTACTCATCATGTGTCACCCACCTATGTGTGCAGCTACTTGTCATGTGTCACCCACCTCTGTGTGCAGGTACTCGTCATGTGTCACCCACCTCTGTGTGCAGGTACTCGTCATGTGTCACCCACCTCTGTGTGCAGATACTCATCACGTGTCACCCACCTCTGTGTGCAGGTACTCATCATGTGTCACCCACCTCTGTGTGCAGGTACTCATCATGTGTCACCCACCTCTGTGTGCAGATACTCATCACGTGTCACCCACCTCTGTGTGCAGGTACTCATCATGTGTCACCCACCTCTGTGTGCAGGTACTCATCATGTGTCACCCACCTCTGTGTGCAGCTATTTGTCATGTGTCACCCACCTCTGTGTGCAGGTACTCATCATGTGTCACCCACCTCTGTGTGCAGGTACTCATCATGTGTCACCCACCTCTGTGTGCAGATACTCATCACGTGTCACCCACCTCTGTGTGCAGGTACTCATCATGTGTCACCCACCTCTGTGTGCAGGTACTCATCATGTGTCACCCACCTCTGTGTGCAGCTATTTGTCATGTGTCACCCACCTCTGTGTGCAGGTACTCATCATGTGTCACCCACCTCTGTGTGCAGGTACTCATCATGTGTCACCCACCTCTGTGTGCAGATACTCATCACGTGTCACCCACCTCTGTGTGCAGGTACTCATCATGTGTCACCCACCTCTGTGTGCAGGTACTCATCATGTGTCACCCACCTCTGTGTGCAGCTATTTGTCATGTGTCACCCACCTCTGTGTGCAGGTACTCATCATGTGTCACCCACCTCTGTGTGCAGGTACTCATCATGTGTCACCCACCTCTGTGTGCAGGTACTTGTCATGTGTCACCCACCTCTGTGTGCAGGTACTTGTCATGTGTCACCCACCTCTGTGTGCAGCTACTTGTCATGTGTCACCCACTTCTGTGTGCAGGTACTCGTCATGTGTCACCCACCTCTGTGTGCAGGTACTTGTCACTGAGGAAACCGGAGTAGCGCCGGCGAAGGAACCGTCCAAGAGAATATTCCTGTTCCATTCCTATCTGAAACAGCACACGTGATGCGGGGCTTTTCAACACGATATATGATTCTCATACTTTGAAGACTCGTTTGAGTGTTGACGTGTTAGTTGTACAGTTGGTTTGTGAGTTTAAAAGTAAAGGGGAGTCTCTATCTTTATAGACAGGTCTCGAGAACTTACTGTGGTCAGCCAGCCTAGTCCATTCGGCCATACGTTCTTCCTGTTGTTGTTGGGGTTGCTCCGATAGGTGGCGTAAGGACTTCGGTCACCATGACGATATAACTGAATTTTGTGTTTAATAATTATTTACCCCGACCATGGTATGTATCCACTAATAAATGCACTATATGCAAATAGTCTTGTTGAGGGTGAGGCGATATATACTGAACCGCAAAAGAAACGTCACCGTGGATAGATATATGAGAAACCCTATTTGTCCAAACACTGTAAACATACTTTGAGACATATAAAAAAGATGAAACTTGGAAACACTGATCATTAAGGTTGAAATTAAAGTGTCAAATATTCTAAAAGTGAAACACAAAACTGGTCTCTGAGAAAATGCCATCACAAGTCAGTGTCTGCCATGTGCATTGATGACTGCCGTGCAACGTCGATACATGGAATGGATGAGGCGGTTGATGAAGGCCATAGGCACTTGAGCATATACTCTGAGGAACGCCTGACGTAGTTCAGCTGCAGTTGTCGGCCTTGGTCGGACGTCATTCGGCCGTCTTTGAAACTCGTCCCACAGGTGCTCAATGGGGTATAAATCGGGACTGAGGGCAGGCCACTGCGTGGTTCTGATGCCATTCTGCTGGAGGAAGTCGTTTGTTGCTCTCGCAGTGTGGGCACGAGCGTCATCATGCTGAAACTCGTGGTTGCGGCGACGTGGTATGGCGTGTGGTCTCAAGGCTTGATCAATGTACCGAGCTGCTGTTACACCATTGCCTCTCCCTGGACCGATGTTCTGGAAGATCACAGGGCTGACTCTCTGTGCAAGACCAATTCCACCCCATACCATGATGTTCAGACCGCCCCACGAGTCTCTCTCAACAACACAAGCATCCGAATAATGTTTCCCATAGCGTCTCCAGACTATCCCTCTCTCTGCCAGCTGCTGTTGAGATACAGTAACGGCTCTCGTCTGAGAAGAGGACTCTTCTCCACTGCTGGTGGCGCCAATGTTGGTGCTGTGTTGCCCACTGAAGACGGACCCGGCGATGACGTGGTGTCAGAATGGGTCCTCGGTGTGGCCTGTGACAGTGGAGGTTTCTGCTTGTCAATCGCCGACGCACGGTGTCCGCACTAATGTGTCGCTGGTGTGTCCCCATGCTCTGTCGAGGAGTTTCCGCAGCAAAGCGATCTTGAAGATGCCGCCGGACAATCTGACGATCCTGACGTCGGGTGGTGACCCTTGGTCTTCCACTACGTGGTCGGTCACCTGTAGTGTTGGTGTTCTGGTACCATTGCTGGAGCCTGTATATGGTCCTTACGTGGACTTTAAATGCATTGGCTACTTGCCGGGCGGTTTGTCCAGCTTGCAATCGTCCAAGGGCTTGGTGTCGCTGATTTTTTGTCAATCTTGACATGTGATAGCAATTCAATTGTTATCCGATCTGGGTGGATTTTATAGGGCAAGAAATGGTGGAACGCATGTGCATTTCAATTCGCGTGGAACTCACGTGCATCGGGTTACCATGGCCGTTGCCGTGATGCGTTCGGGCGATCGGCTTTATTGTCACCTGCTTTGTTTTTTCATCATTAAATTTATTTTTTCCGGACAAGGTAATGTTAAATTTAGAAACTTTGACAAAAATTACCCAGATATTTAAATGACAACTTTTCATACAATGTTACTTGGGTGACGTTTCTTTTGCGGTTCAGTATATTTTGAAGTTAGTTATAGATCCCTCAAACCCCAAAAAGCTGTTAGTTCAGGTTTAGGTTGAAACAACAAACACCATTACACACACAATATAAATATTCAATTGTGGTTATTATGAAACCGAAGGCTTTTGCCACCAGATGTAAGATTGAAAGAAAGCACCCTACCAGGTTGACCAGTCGCAGTGTACTCGGGGCCCCGGACCCCGCACTGCACCCACCACAGACAAGGTAAGCAATACCAAGCACAAGAGTCCACATGCCTGGAATGGAGGCCTGGCCAAGTTGTGTGTGTCTCTGAGTAAATGGAAATAGAAATATGCCTATTATGTACCGTGAATATGATTCCTTATCACAGCAGGGTATTAGTCAGTGGGAGATAAAGCTATGTGGACTTTGAACAGGTGTTCATAGAAGTGATAAGAAGGATTTAACGTAATCTAAAAAAAAGAATGATTTCTTCTTTAATCTGGTCCATGGTGGTACAAATACACCCAGTTATCTCTACAAATTTGTTCGATCCCATTTGGCATTCGTCAACTCTAAACGTTGAACGACTACAGAATAAATCCGATGACAGTAACATATGTGCCCACCTGTCTGATTGAATCTACGTGTACTTACTCTTGGGTGTTTGTGCGTTAATATAATCATGTTAATTATTAAGATATAATGATGATGTTCGATATTGAGCGATGTCAGTTTGAGTGTTGTCAGGGCTGTTTACCGATCTTTCACATTTTGTCCTTTGAAAATGTCCGATATCAAATACCCCGAAGTTTTTATCGCCAATAAAAGAGCACGGTCACTGAAACATACATGGACGTAACCGGGATTTCTTCAAGATATACATTCCAAACTGCCATTCGTGGTGTGACGTAATCTTTGAAACAGTCTGCGTATGGACTACTCACGACCACTTCCGTCAATTTTGTTTTGACGTCAAAAAGAAGGACAATTTCATCGGGATTTTTTATCGGTTAATATAACTCACGGCAATTATCAGTGAATGTGTACTTCGACATACCTGTCATATGTCTTTCACTGCCAGGGTATGTACTTTCCAATGATATGAATTATTGGAAATTTATGTTTCAAACAAGGGCGCCAAATGACTTTACTTGCCATATTCGGGTGCGTCCACATTACAATTAATGTAGAAAGTGGGAAACTTACAATACCAGCATATTTTGGATTTGGTTACTTTAAATACAGTTGGAAAGACAATCAATTCGAGTTGCATGTTATACAATTTGGTTACACTGTTTGAAGACATAAGAACGTTGTAAAAATTTTGATACAACGTATACGTTTTTGAAACTGCGACGAATGTTGTGCTCCCTCAACCGGTTTCGTACGGTTTTGCTACTAGGCAATGGGAATTGTCCGCGCTGTTAACATGGTTAATGTGGCAGTTTGGTATAGATTCCGTAGAAGCACCAAACGAACATGGTTGTCTTGTTGACGTGACTACGTTTTGATTACGCCCGGTGTAGCTTGTATATTTCATGTGCACGTGCCGAGTCAGGTGTCAGTACCTAGTATCACACTTAGAGTTGGATGGTCTAAGTGATGACTTCGGCATGAACAACACAAGTCCGTCTGAGGGTCCACAACTGTTTATTTAGACAACGACTGTAGTGTTACAATCGTAGGCCAGGTCTAAACTCTTCTCCTCAGACCTCTTGTCTGGTCACTTATATACCCAGGGTCGTCAGCTAAAATCCTTTGTTTCAAAACTCCCTGCATCTGGTAAGTGGATTTGTCATTAATACGGTAATTATTATTAATCTCAAACTCGGGTATTTCCCGCTTCATATTGATTTTAACCTGTATTCCCCGTCTCATATCGATCTTAACCCAGGGGGGACCCGGTCAGTCCCTTTTTGGAGGTGGCTCTTAATAGCTTGGTAATATCCCTCCGACTCATGACCACCGGTCAACCCCGGCCTGTCCTCATTTCGCCTACACCTCATTTTGCCTACACCCTTATCAAAACAAATTTACAGCTGACTGCACATAAGTCAAGTGAACTGACCCAAAAGAAGGTTAAACAGACAAGACAATCTTGTAATAATAGTAATGACTCATGATTACTGTAGCTTTAGTACATATCCAACGGCATCAAGAAATTGCATTACAGTTTTTCTTCCACTAAGAAGCTGTGTCTTTAGTCTTTCAATTCTTTCGTCCCTTTGTCTGTCAACACGAGCTCGGGTCTGCATGATCCTCCAAGATCAATATGTTTCCTGGAGCGTCTGTCTGCCTTTTCAATCTTCTTGATCTCCTTCAAGAAATGATAGATGTTAGGGTGAGATCGGGGCATTCTCTTTTTCAGTCCACAGTGGAACCCTTCCGGACGGTTGTTGGATCGGGGACCGGTGTTGGGACCGGACGCGCTGGTTCCAAATATGGCAGGGGAATCTAGCGTGCTGGTGACATAGTCGTTAAAATCACCAATCTGTTGATCATCAGGTCCTTGCTCCATAACCCCAACCCATGCATTCTGTACCTGGTCAACTGGGAGAATTGGCAGGGCTGCGGCACGTCGAACATGGGACTGAGTTGCTGCATTGTACGTGTATTCTCGTACAAGACCTCTCTCAACTACCTGAGGCCACAAACCTTGTGAATAGTGAAACAGACAACCACTCACATAACTATCAGGAGAAACCTCTGCAATGGCACTTATGACTGCTGACTCGTAATCAGTCTGAAACACCTCTGGAGAAAGTTCAGCACCAGTTCTGGTTCCTACTGTGTCCTTCAACAACCTAAATAGTCTAACATATGTCTGTTTGGTCTTGTTAGGAAGCAACGAAAAAGCAACAGGATAATTTTTACCATTTACAAGACAATGAATGGCTGGCTGTGAGGAGTTGTAGACACGACGTGTTCTGCAATAGTGCTGCATCTACCATTGCAACCTGTGTGGACACACTTCCAGTGAACAGCAACTTGACGCTTGACAGTCAGTCTGTATCTATAGCCTGCATAAAGTACTTGCTGGCCACGTCTTTGTGATGTTACAGACTCCGCTCTCTGAAGATTTGCCATTTTGATGCTGACCGGTATATGTTGTTGCATTAGGTGTTTAAGAGGTCGCCTTCTGCCTAGGCAATTTCGGCTGACCTGTCCCTCTTTGGGACTCCTGTGTGTGAGAAGGGTTCACATATCTATTGTGAGTTCGGTGTTCACATAATTTCTGTTTTTGCATTGATATGATTTCTATTTTCTTATATTGATATGATTTCATTTTTATCCTTGGCTGCTCTGTTTATATACGTTCGAGCAGCTGTCCATCTCTCAGAAATAGAGTTAGTTTGGCCTTCGCTATTGCATCTCTTGGCTTTAGGAGATCTATGACAGATAGCGGATCTAACTGCAATTCTTGTTTTAACCTAGCCCGGGCCGGGGCATGGTCTTGACATTCTAGTAACAGGTGGTCAATGGTTTCAGCCTGATTGCAAGATGAACAAACCTTGTCATAGTGCTTTTTGTGACCAAGTCTGAGGCGTGAGATAGCAGTTTCAATTTTCCTTTCATTTGAGTATGAGTTTGGCTTTTGTTGGACCTTGGGTTGAATTTTGTATAGCCATCTGCCGATCTTACTTGCGTCCCATTGGGTTTGCCATCTTTTTGCTATGGAGGCTTTGATTTTGCTTTTTATCTCTAGTTTACTAAAGGGAATAGGCTGTATATCCGCTTTGTCTAGAGCTAGCTTCGCCAGTGAGTCTGCTTTTTCATTTCCATGAATATCTATGTGAGAGGGGATCCAACACAGCTCCACCTGTTGCCCTTGGTCCGATAGTTTTGTATATTCGTATAGAATATTGTTGACTGTGTTTGGCCTGGAGTTTGAGTTTCTTCCACTGATGGCCTGAAGTGCACTTAGCGAGTCTGATAGGACGACTGCCTTTGCTTCCGGGAGTTCCGGTATGAGTTTGAGTGCATGATGAATTGCCTCCAATTCAGCCGTGAATACTGACTGACCATCGGGCAAGCGAACTGAATGTGCTTGGGGTTTGGAGCTGTGGATATGGATCCCGTAACCAGCACTGTTGTTGATAGGATTCTTGGATCCATCAGTGTATATATGGGCCCAGCTGTCCCAGGTAGTTTGAATTTTAGTGATAGCTACTGAACGTAGTAGGGTTGGGTTTTCTCTTTTAGTGACTTCTGATGTTAAAGCAGTGTCAACTTTGGGAGTTTGTAAAGTCCAGGGAGGGTGTAACCCTTTGTAGTGACTTTCTGGAGGCTGAATGTAATCGCAATTGTGACTTCGAATGAGTTCACGTACTAATATCCCAGATGGCTTTAGTGAGGGATTTTTTCGAGCTAGGGCCTCATCTCGAGCGTTTTTGTCTTGCCATATCTTTTTAACCAAAGGGTTTGATGTTCGTCCCCAGAACGATAATATTGCCTGCTCTCGTCTTAGTTTCAATGGGAGTTCTCCCGTTTCTACTTGTAGTGCTTCTAGTGAGGTGCCTGTCGCTGCGCCTGTGGCCAGTATTAGGGCTTTGTATTGTATTCTGTCTAGTCGCCTCAAGACAGTATTTGATGCTGAGTGAAAAGCCTCACAACCATAGTCAATTTTTGATCTGATAAGAGCTTTGTAGAGGTCCAGCTGAGTGTCCCTCGATGTGCCCCAAGATGTGCCTGAAATTGCCCGTAATACGTTCAGGTCTTTTTGACATCTGTTTTCCACATATTCGATATGCTTGCGCCAAGTGAGGTGTTGATCAAGGATAACTCCAAGAAATATTGCAGATTTTTCGAATTTGATAGGTTTGCCTTTTATGGAGACACGGGGTATCATAGCATCTTTCCCCCGGCGTTTGAATAGAACTCCAACAGTTTTTTCACTTGAAAGGGTGAATCCCCATTTATTGCACCATTGATCTACTCCGTCCAGGGCTGACTGGAGTTTTTTTCTGATTTGTGAGATATCTCTGTGCTTTACCCATATTGCTCCGTCATCAGCGAACTTAGAAGTTTGGGTAGGAGAGTTGACATGGTCAAAAAGATCATTGATCATGATATTAAACAGGGTTGGGCTTATAATGCTGCTTTGTGGCGTGCCATTGTCCAGTGCCATAGGATCCGATCGATTGTTCCCTATTTTAACTGAAAGCGACCTGTCTTGCAGGAAGCTGTCTATGAAGTTTGCCATGTTCCCTTCAACTCCATTTTGTGATAGTTTTGAGAGGAGTCCGTCATGCCATACCATGTCGAAGGCTTTGCTGAAGTCCAGAAATACTGCGGCTAGGTATTGTCTGTTTAATTGGGCTTTTTTTATTTCATTTTCCAGTCTTAGAATATGATCTAGACAC